CTGTCTCTGTGTCTCTCTCCCTCCCTCCATCTCTCTCCCTCCCTCTCTCTCCCTCCCTCTCACTCTCCCTCCCTCTGTCTCTCTCTCTCTCTCCCTTCCTCCGTCTCTCTCTTTCTCTCTCTCTCTCTCTTTTTAGTTTGGGAAATAAACATGCACATGTATAATTTAGTTTGCTTATTAAATTAGAATTTGCTATATTTAAAGATGTGATAGTCTGTAAAAGGTTACTTTTTCTGTTTTTCTTTGGGGAGGAGTAAAGACAAAAAAAGCTCTCTTGCCATTTTAAAAAGCATTTTTTTCAGGTTTTTATGTTTTTAGGCCCACTAGGAAGACAGGGAGACACACAGATACAGGTACACTACACCCGCCTCCCCATACACACCCCATCCTTCTTCCCCACCAAAGCTCACTGGTCTTTTTTATCAATTGAAATTCCCTTAGCGTCCTGCTGTTGGAGGCAGGTGGTAGGAAGGCAGAGGACAGAACAGATCAGAAGGGGTGGGAGCCTGGGGGTGGTTGGTCTAATTTATGACAGGGTACAGACAACCTGGGAGTTCAGAGAACAAACCAGAGATTGTGACTCCAGAGAAAGGAGCTGAGCACAGGCTTTAGGGTGAAAGACCCAGTGGGGGAGGGGATGGGCAGAGTGCAGTGCCAGCGGATCATGTGGGAGTCCGTGCCCAGAAATCCAGACCAGGTAGGGAGCAGGGTTCACACCGAGTCTGTGGGAACAGGTGGACAGGCTCTGTCTGCTGACAGCACAAGCACAACTTGACTACTGATCCTGGGACAGGTCTGTCTGTTTTCTGCACCTGCCACCAAACCAGATATGGAAGGACTCAACAAGTACTCTATGAACCCTTCCTGGAAAAAAAATTACTCCAGAAGTAGTCTAGCTAACCAAAAAATTTTATCAAATTAAAGAACTCAAGTACAAAAAAAAGATATGGTATTGATAATGGTCATGAAGAAAGAAAACACTAGAATTTAGAGTCATTGTCTAGTTATAATCAACATGTTTATAAAGCTGAATGCAAATGGCGACTCTCTTGAGGGTAAGGAATATGTCTTTCAAATGCATCATTGTATTCCTTCCCAATACCTCGCATCGTGCATGTAGTAGGTTCTCAATAAATATTTGTTGAATGAATAATGTAAGAAAGAAATCAGTAATCATAATCCAGAACTGAAAATCCAGATCACTGTGACAAAATCAGAAGGTTTGTAGCGAAAGGAAGTAAAAGTATACTAAATCTCTCATCTCACACAAAAAAAACCATTAGATACTGTTTTATTCTTAATGTAGTGAAATATAGATATAAACGATTTTAACTTATAGATAAAAACAAGATTTGAAACTTACAAAGCATTGGCAAAGAATGAAAGAACAAAGAAAACGAGAGTAATATTGCAAAAGAGAAGAGTCTCCCCTTAGTGTAGCTAAATGCCGGCCAGAAACCCGGCTCTCCTCCTCCTGCTTAATCTTGGGAAAGGCGCCCGACCTCGTGGGCCTCTGTCTCCTCATCTGAAAAAGGGTGGGAAATGGAAATGCTGGAGATCCCCATGGGTCCTCCCATCTATGGACACAGAGCTTGACCCTTGGAAACGTCTACAAATCCATTGC